ATTATATAAAAATATAGCTAATTATGCTTATACAAATGTACATTTCAGGTTTGTATATTAAGTGCAAAACCAAATGCAATAAAGTGTAATGGAAATTTTGAAGGTGTCTTTTATCATACCTTATAAGGTGAAGGTCTTATACGTTCTCCAAAGACAACTTGGCCCAAATTCTCAATGGGACTTTGACTTTCATCAGAAGGACAAAAGTCGAAGCTAAACAAAAACAATATTGGTGTGTTAATCCAAAGTTTTAAGAGATTACAAAAAATAGTAACAGCTTTATATATACATGTGTATGTTTTTTATGAAAACTTACTGATGATATTCATATGGTATTACATATTTCTCAGTATTCAAACGGTTTACATATAGTTTAATTTCAGACTGAAAAAAATAAACAGTATTTAATAGGACATAATAAGTTATATATTAGATGTAGGAAAGAATCTTGTGTTTTTTATTTTGCAAAAATTACATGCTGGAAAAATCAACAATATGAACAATAATGTTCTATGTTCATCCCAAGAAGGTTTTACTGTGCATTTGGTAGAACATGAAAGATCTGCTATACTATGAGTTGTTAAATTTAAGTACAAATTGATATCATCTATTTAATTAATTTCAATAATGGATTAGATAAAAAGAAACCATTTACTGCTCAAAGAAGTTACAAAGTTATATTATTATTTGATAATGCTTTAGCATATATTGCTTAAACAACAAAACAAATCATTATTGTTGGATTAGGAATTTCTTTTCAGAAGCAATGTAATTGTTGAACAGTGTAATTTATTTCACCATAATTTTGTTAATGTGCATTCCAATACCACTAAAGTTATTTGAAAATTATGGTTTTATTAGTTCAAAATCTCTAATCTTTTACAACAATGAAATTCATATTTTGCTTAAAAAAATTAATGACAAAAGGAAAATATTTCAATGACTGCACTTACTTCAATTTAAAAAGAATAAAAGCTATATATTACACGTTTTCTACACTTATATAGATCATTATAAATAATTTGTAAATATTTATTAATTACAGAGATAAACTATAGATTAGGTTTGAAGTACTAGATTTTATAATTAAATTCTTTTTCAACTTTCATAAATCTATGTTTTATAATTATAAATCTCTATGTTAAATAATACTTTAATGAAGGTATACATATACAACAAAAATTGTAAAATACAGTATCTATAGTACACATAGTTGAATAGCCAATGCCTCATTACATATCAAAATACAAATTAAATGCAAAATACTTTACATGTTCATGAAAGATTGAACTAACAATATTCCTATTACATTGTACGAATAGTTATATATTTATTAAAACTTTTTGAAGTACTATTTCATTACAATGAGACACATGTTGCGAAAAGCCACGTCGAAACATTTGAAATTGCCAAAAATTGATTCGTAGTTAATTTAACACCAAAAATGAGAAATAGATTAAACTACAATTGATACTTAATGAGCATTTTAATGGACAAACGTAAATAATTTGTTTGAAAATGGAAAATAAAAAAGCGATATATTAACATGATCATAACCAATTTGTAAAATAGATACAAAAAATTTTCAATACGCACTTTACACGTTTCAGAGGTTTCTCCGGCCTTGCAATAATTTACAGGCGCCAGGCCCGGCAAATAAAAAGCCGATACATAATAAACCGAATATATAATAAACAATAGCCACAGCAAAATTATTTTCGCCATTGTGTATTGTTGTCCGTTCTTACTAACTACTTGCCTAATGCAAGTATGTGTCAATTACTATATGAAAAACATCGGACACTAAACTGCCATGATACACGTCATTGATAACCAACTGTATACACAGATTGGGAACCTCGTTGCGTGGCAGTTCTGCGATTCGTACTATCGAATTTTTAATCGCAAACCTCATTTTCATAGAAATAAATTAAAATTTTCTTCACAGTCCCTTTCCTGAAGTAAATATACTAAAATTTTACAATATATAAAATCTTTAAATATGTATATACGATAAATTTTATGTATCCAAAATTCTTTTACTTTAAATTGCTTTATTACGTACATATTTCTAAATAATAGTTTCCTTATAAGTTTTTATATTTAAAAATAATAGTAAGAAATATTATAAGATTACACACAAATTTTTTTATAAGATAGAGTCTTTTAAAGAAAAATACATAAAAGTTATTTTTTATGTAGAAAATGACAACACAAAGTCATTAAATTCAACTAAGGCGTATTCTTATGCATTTTGTTATGCATATAGTGAGCTTTAAGTAGATATTTTTAAAATTCTCTTTATTATAACTAATTCATAAAAAGACCACGTGATAGCCTACAAATTATTTCTTTTAGATTTAAAAAATTAGCATTCAGTATCATTTTATTATTGTCTTTGTTATATACAATGATCTAAAAAATTACTTTTGTCAATGTAGAAAATTTTATATTCAATATTATTTTATTATTGTTATATTATTTTATTGAGAAATTCCGTAAATATGTTTGTAATACTTCTAATGCAACACGAAAGAACTTTATTGATACGAAGTAGTAATATTCTTTTCTCTGTAACTATATTACAGCGTTATATATTATTTATGGAAGACTCAAAAGCAGACAGATGCTTTCCTGTACAGTCGTTAATGAGAGGGAACAAAGGAGAAACGAGTTCTTTTAAAATACAAAATGCGATTAAAATTTTTGTTCAACAATCATTACAAAGACAGTAGGCATAAAAATCGTACATCTAAGTTTAAAAAATATTCAACAATTAATTTACTCACAGGCCATTAGACAACACGATGTCACTTGATTAGACACTCATGTATTTATTAAACAAGAGACCAGTTAATCTAAGGAGACTTGTGCTGGCCATTCTTGTTATTGTACAAAATGTGAATTGATTTAAATAATTCCTCAGGAATGTTTCACATATAAATAAGATCCAGCAGCTGATTATTTCAATGATTTTTGTGCTACAACTTTAGTATGTTTTTATAATTCTCGAGTCACAGACTCCGAATAATATAAGACGAGAAAATGATAAATAATTGTTGAAATATTCAATTATATGGCAGATAAGCAATACAATGTTCATTCTCGCAGAGTTCGTAACACAAATACCGGAAAACAACTTCTTTCGCTTTTTAGTTACAGTTTATTCAGTTCAATGTTGTTAATCTTCCGAGCAATCAAATGTATTTTTAATCTATCTCGGACGTCTAGCTTGTATTATGCAACGGTAATTCCAACCGTTTGAAGGTAACTCCTCAGATGATTTGCATTAGGTTCCGGAATTTGATCGAGAATATTAAGCAATTGTCTCGGTGATAATCTTGCTAGTCCTTGTGCCAAATGTAAACGTACATCACCAACAGCTATTTAGTGAAAAATATTGTTAAATAACGCGTAACTGACCGATTTATATATTATAACAAGACTATTTTCATAATTATACCTTCTAAAGGATCCTTCGGTGGATTTCTTGCACAAAGCAATTGACTGTATCCTACTTGGTATCCAGGCATATCTTCAGTTTCTGGGAAAATATTATCTTCGGCTAAGGTACTCTGATCTGGAGGTAATTCGAAAAATTCTACTAATGTCGCTAATAAACGAGGATAATATGTATTATACGGCCTTTCTAGCATGGCCGGACAATCAATTAGTAAATTTGACATTGCGACAGCTGTTACTTTTCGTTCGATATCACCTGATACCTTCGGTAGATCTGCTATTAACACACGTTCTATAACCATACCGAACATTCTGTAAACAAAGCAATTATTACGTATTAATTAGTTCTAATAATATCTGTTTGACTTATAACTTTACAACAAAACAACTCACCGAGACTGTATTTGATCTATAATTGTAACCAAATTATTTGAACCATATCTAATGATATAATAAGCAAAAAATACGATCAGACCTTTTACAAATTTTGTTGTTTTTGATGATGAAAGTCTTTGAAATAGCAATACAAAGATTTGTTTCATAAATGGCTCCAGTACGTTTCTAGAAGTATTGTATTGTTATAAATATAAATATTAGGAAGAAATAATACAATTCTGTAAGAAAACTTACGGTGAAAAATACTCGATAATACTTTGCAGTAACAAAAAACCTTCGTGGTCATTAGCTTTTGAAGCAATCAGTTTTTGAAATACTCCTAGTAAACCATTTATTTTATCTTGTGCTATTATATGGTGTGCACTGTGGCTAATAAAAGCTCGTAGTAATCGATTTAGTGGATGAATATTAGCTTGACGTTCAAATAGCACGGATGATAGTAGACAAGGGAATAAGGCCAAATACGCTTCTGGAATATCTTGCGTCGTTCGTAACTCCAGAAGTAAAGCAAGAATTTGAAAAACGTACGGTAGAAATTCTAAAACAAAAGATATCAATTAAAATATGGGCAATACAATCATGTATCAAACAAAACATTTTACCTAGAACATCTTGTTGCAAAATTTCTTGGAATATTGGAAATAGCGCTTCCTCGAATGATGAAACTGCTACTTTATGTGTTTTACAAACGATCCTAAAACCATATTAGACATACGTCTTAATTTTGTCATTAATACAATTGTATTCCATTGTATTCTTAAATAATTTTGAGTACTTACTTAATTGATAAAGCAAATGTTTCAAATAGATAGTGATTAAAGTTAGGACGACTTGGGTTTTTGGATACGATGGCAAGTTTTTCGGTGAGCTTCGGAAGAATATCTGCTAAAAATGGTACAATCACTTCTTGCAGAATACCAAAGCTTCTCATAATAGCTTTCATTACGTATTCATTCTCTTCCGAGCCAGGTATAGTTAAGCATGTAAATAAACCCTTTAATAAATCCGCTGTCAATTGCGATAAATCATTTCCTTTAACTCTATAAATCAAATTAACATTTGATTTGAATTTGGCGATTTGACACAATTTGCATAATAGAATCATTAAAATATCATTACTAAATAAAACAACATAGCATATTATTCTTACAAATGTAAATTATCAGGTCCTTTCATTGCGAGTATTTTTTCAATCGCACAAGCAGCATACGTATGAACAACAATATTCGAAGCATTTAAGTGCCTAATTAGTTGTGGTAAACTGCCGAGTATCATTTCTCTCGGTAATACTGATCTAAAGGTCATTAGAAATTTAATCGCATCTGCTTTAAGCACAGGAAATTCGTTCACTGAAACGCACCATGTAAAATATTCAATCTAAAACATCTTCTGAAGATTTAGCGAATAAGCTTAACTTAACTTTGTACTAATTTTACATACCATTTGGTTTTAGTAATTCTGGTTCTATGTGTTGCATTGCAAATTGAGGTAATGGAACGAGCTCACTACTTTGTGTAACACCATGTTTTTGCGTTTGAGCTTTGCTTGCACTACTGGTGACTAGATAAATTGCAGCATCTTTACTCCGCCAATTTTCAATAGGCTTTTCAGCATAATTTTGTAACATCACCTAACAATGAAATTAAATATTATATATATTTATATATATTA